CGGCGGAGCCCGGGCCCTGCCGGACGGTGACGGTGGAAGTGGGGGGCAGGTGAGGGGCGGCAGCGCGGAGGCGCGTTGCGGGTGCTCCCCGCTCCCTGGGCCTGGGCTGCGGCCCTGGCTGAGGAGCGGCTTTCGGTACCGGCGGTGGGGAGGGGGCCGGCGGACCCCAGGGTCGTCGGCGCCGAGAGAGCCGTCCGGGGTGGCGGGTTGAACAAACGTGAGGAGAAGTTGCCGCTGATCCTCCTGCCGTGCCGTTCCTCGCTCTCCGCGGGTGAGCAGCAGGTGTATTTCCTTCCCTTTCCTGCGCGGAAGGGAGAATGTTCCGCAGCTGTGGTGGGAAAAGGTGTTTCGTGGGTGCGCAGGCAGCTCCCCTTCTCTTGTGAGGGTACAGCAGGTGTGCATTGCGTTTTCTGGCGGCAAAATTAAAATCCAGCTTGAACAGGTGGGTGATTCCTCCTCTCCCGGCGTGAGCAAAGCATTGTGCCTCTAAGCCATATACGTTGCTTTAGGTGACATCCCATGTGGCTGGCTGCAAGTCTTTGCTTCAAGGTGAAAGCAGCAGGACATTGGAGGCAAAAGCATGTTGAAGTTAAGGGGATTTGGTCACTTTTGGTCAGAGGGTTTCAATTTCCAGATCTAATCAGGATTTTTATGTCCAATACGAAGCGTAGCCTACATTCTGTATAGTTGGTGCTGTAGATGAATGCAGGAGTACTGGAAAATTTGAATTCACCGTGAGTAACAGATTATTTCTTTCTGACAGAAAGATGGAACTGTCTTCTGGAAAACTTGCTAGGTTTGCTGATGGATCTGCTGTTGTTCAGGTAAAAAAAAAAAGTTAAAATTTGTGCAACTTCAAAATTTCTGGATCTGAACAGTCATTGTTAGGACATCAGAGTCTATTGAAAGGATACAGAGCCTCAAGTGGCAGTTTAATCCCTAATGAATGTACAGCTGTGTTTTGTAGGAAAAAAAATTGTTTGAAAAGCAAAAATAATGGTGTGAGTCATGGATTTATGTGGTTGTTTTCTGCAAAGAATATTCTGGCGGTTTAGTTTGTGAATAAGTTTAGGACTTTAGCTGCAGGTAATTTTCAATTTTTTTTCTTTTTTTTCCTTAATCCAGCTAGGTGACACAGCAGTAATGGTCACAGCAGTCAGTAAAACTAAGCCTTCTGCATCTCAGTTTGTGCCATTAGTGGTAAGTACTAATGACAAAATTAGTTTTGTGATAATCAGTGGTAGCCTCAGTGGTAGTAGTTATTAAATAGTGGAGTTCAAGACGCTGGAAGGAGTGAGGAGTGCAATCAGCAGCCTACAGACCCTGGATTTCAGAATAGCAGTCTATGATAAAATGACTAGACCTATGGATGAGGGATGAGCACTGGATATTGTATACCTTGACTTTAGCAAGGATTTCTACAAAAGCCTTTGTACCAAAAAAAGTCTTTCTAGAAAAGCTCTTTGTCTGCCACAACATCCATGTTCAAATATTATATTTTAGATGTGTGAAAGACTGGTTGGATTATGAGGCTCTAAGGGTTGTGGTTATTAAGGTTTAATGATGCTTGTTCTACCTTGAGGCTGAATAAGAGTGAGTTCCTCAGGGGGTCTGTCCTGGAAAGAGACCTGTTTCATACTTGTATTGGTGACCTGGAATTCCTGCTCATCAAGTTTGCAGATGACACCAAACTGGGGGGGGGGGTGTGCAAATGATACGCTCAGAAGCAGGGCTGCTGTCCAGAGGGACCAGGGGCTGGAGGAATGGGCTGACAGGAACCTTATGAAATTCTGTAAGGACAAACATGAAGTCCTGAACTTGGGGTGCACTAGTGCCCTGCAACAGTTCAGGCTGGGGTCTGACTGGCTGGGCAGCCCATATATGATCTAGAATGGGAGAGTCCATTTGAGCATCAAGACAGAGCCTTGAATAATGTCACCTGAATTCAGAGTTGACCTTGCTCTGAGCAGGGGATTGGATTATAGGCCTTTGGAGGCGTCCCTTCTAACCTGAATGATTCTGTGGCTCTGAAATAAGTAATCTGTTGTCTTTAGGAATCCCTGTTTTGTTATTAAAAGGTTGACTACCGTCAGAAAGCTGCTGCAGCAGGAAGAATTCCTACAAACTATCTAAGAAGAGAACTTGGTTCCACCGATAAAGAAATTCTTACGAGCAGAGTAATAGGTAGGCTGGAACACTTTATTGACAATGTATTTTAAATATTTTGTAATATTCTCAAGAATGTTTGAAAAGAGTAATTTATAACTGCTCTTTGCAGAGTTGATTGTTTCTGCAGTAATGTCAGAAGAAAACAAACTTGTAGTTTCTTGTTTATCAGTACTGATTTTTAAAACGATATATCAACTGGGGCTGTGTCTGTATTCCTTTATATATAAAAAGCCTGGATCTTGAGAAACCTTGTTGTCACCTTTGTTGATATTAAGATCTCATCCTAACTACAGAGATAACATCCCAACAGTTGCACATCTGTCTGGACAGGTGGAAGAGACAACCAAGCTAAACTCTGAAATACAAAGAGGCAGGCTTACTGATTGGTATAGACTTATTCTCTCCCTCTTGATCCTGCTTGAAAAGTCATCTCCATCATGGCTATCTCCATTGATGAATAAGATAATGCCTTGAAATTCAACATTTATATAAAACTGATGTCAAATACATCAGCATCTTAAGACAGCAGTGAAAAGAATTAGGAGAGGGAACAGCCTATAAGGCCTAGGCTGTTACAGAGTCCTGTACACTTCAGACTGCAAAAAAATTAATAGGAAATCTACACATCATGGAAATAATGCAGTATTTTGAACATACACGCTTTTGTTGCTTTTCTCTGTTTGAGGACTATGTCCCTTCATTGAAGATATTTCTGGTGAAATACTATTTAATAGGTTATTTGTATCCTAAAGCATAGAAGACTTTTTCAATGTTTTTACCTTGTGTTACTGACAGTGGGTATGCTCACCCAACTAACTCTTACTCTACTCTGAGTGCTATTGAAATTTTAGAGTTGATTATATGTCATACTAAATTTCCTTCAGGGTTCTCTGCCTTTTCTCTTTTTTGTTTGACTGGGTCTTTCATTTAAACCATGTTGTCAGTTTCTTCTGGGGTTATTACAAGACAAACTGAATACTAACTACTGAAAACCAAATACTTCTTAGACTTGGAATATTTCTTTTGCAGATCGGTCAATCAGACCACTCTTTCCAGTAGGCTACTTTTATGATACACAGGTAGGTCACATTCACTGTCCTTAACTATAGCTACCTTCAGAATGGGAAACCTGGGTACATCCAATGAAAATTTCACATGATACAGGCATTGTTTTAAGAAAAGCAATTTTCATTAGCATCCAGGAGGGGTTTACACTTTGCAAAACAGTCTAATAGTGTAATGCTGCTTTTTAGTTTGTCATTTCCTTATCCTAAATTATTTTTATTACATGCTAGTTTCCAAATTTTGTTGTAGAGATACAGGAACAAAATTCAAATATCCTCTGTACAACAGAGGAAAGAAAGGCTAATAATATATGTCATATGATATGATACGATATTATACATTAGTGGGTTTTTGTGAGCTTTCTAGTTTAAATACCTGAACAAATTTTCATTTGTAGTATAGGCCTGTATAAATATGTGGAATGTTTTGTTTTATTGTTCTTAGCTTTGTATTGACAGCTAATAAAAATGTATAGGTCAAAATTATTCATTGTCTTTTATCTTATGCCAGATCCTTTGTAATCTTTTAGCAGTAGATGGCGTCAATGATCCGGATGTTCTGGCAATTAATGGAGGTAAGAGGATGTTTAAATCACACATGAGCAGTAATTTTTAATGTGATCCATTTTTTTCTAATACAGATTTTATCTCTTCATTCTAGCTTCTGCAGCACTTGCATTATCTGATATCCCATGGAATGGTCCTATTGGTAAGTAAATATTTTGAAATGATGATGATTTGAACATAATGGAAGACTTAGACCACGGTTCATGCTTTCTTTTTTAACAAGAATCTGAATTTGAAGTCCACTAACTTTTGGTTCAAGTATTGAAAATAATTTTACAATGGATAGCATTATTGCACTTGAAAGCATTATTTTTTCTGGACTAAATATACTTCTGGAAGGATTTATATTCCAATATAGTAATGACTTAAATTTTTTTCTTTAGAGAAACTTAGTCTTGAAAAGCATCATTTAGAAAATAGCTCAATAAGAATACTTCTTTGTTTCATTGTGAATATTTTTTGGAGAAGAGAAATGATCTAGCCAAGGACAAATGTTTAGCTGTAATTTCCTTTCACCTGCCTTTTTTCTAGAAAATGTGTTCAAATGACTAAAAAAACCTAATAGACTTACAGCCTTGTGTATAATGCTGCTCGGCATTATATGCCCTACCCAGTAATACTAACCAAAAGAAATTAAAGAACAGATAATTTTGCCTTACAGTTTTGTTATTATTATATAGCTCATGTTTTAAAATTAATCCATAGCTTTAATTGCTGTTTTTAGATGTATAATTTTCAAAGTTAAATGATGCCTTAAAGAGCTTCCTTATTATAATAATAATAATAGTTTTCTGGGGTTTCTTTATAGGTGCAGTAAGGGTAGGACTGGTTGATGGAGAAACCATTATCAATCCAACTCGAAAACAGATGTCTTCTAGTGCTTTAAATTTAGTTATTGCTGGAGCTTCACAAAATCAAGTTGGTAAGTAGGTTAATTATTAGTATGTCTTGAGTGTTTGAAAATCAGGTAGGTGCCTCTTTGCAGATATTTGCCTAATCTTTGAAACTTGTGTTTTTACACAACAGTAGGAATAAACAACAGTGATAGGTTAGGTACCTTTTGGTTAGGTGAAGTAAATTCCATTATATTTATGCAGTTGAATGTTAATCTGGTTTTCCTCAGCTGAGTTAGATTGTTATTGAACAATAAAAAAGTAATTTACTTAATTTTTAACTTTCCATTGATAGTTATGTTGGAAGCAAGTGCCGAGAACGTATTGCAACAAGACTTCTGTCATGCTATCAAAGTAGGGGTGAAGCATACCCAGCAAATAATTCAGGGAATTCAACAACTAGTGAAAGAACAAGGTGTTGTCAAGAGAACTGTTCAGAAGTTATTTGTTGCTCCTGAAGAGATTGTGGAATGCGTGAAGAAGTAAGTTCAGAACAAATAATTTTGATCTGAATTATGTTAAGTGACTCAAAATGCTTATTTAATGATCATTTAGTTTGATGATCTCTAATTAGATAGTTTGGGTGTTTTGTTTAATAAAATAGCATGTTTTGTAAGTTCAGAATTACTTGCTGCATTTTCCGTAGAAACTTAGGAACACAGCCTTCAGCTCTCTGGCTTTATACTTAGTAAGAAGGACAGGGCAAAACAAATACCCTGAAAATTCAGTAAAGGAATTGTAAGTTAATATGCCACTCTTGTGGAATGGTGACAAGAGAAGTCAGGATGTTGGCGTGTATGATCCATGGAAATGATAACTAGTTTGAGAGGGGTGGTGGGAGAGCAGGCAGGAAGGACAGCTGGGGCTAGTAATGTTTATGAATGTCAGTCTGGTGATTTGATATTGCTAGTGAAAACAAACATTTAATCCTCAAAAGAAACTAATTGTGTAATTGTTTTTTAAGATGTGTTTTCAAAAATTGTTTCCTTTCTTCTGAAAGACTTGCTTTTAACAAGATCTATGCAGTGTTCACAGATTCCAGCCATGATAAAGTAAGTAATTAGTTCAAACGTGATATAATTATTTTTTAATTAATATCGTAATGGAACTGTAGTAAGATTTAGTTTTAAGCTAATGTTAATAAAAGCTCTTCTCCTCTTCTGCATGTATTTGCAATAGTAATAATAAATTGTTCTGTAAATTCTTATCTACCAGAGTATTTGTTTGCAGTATGTTACTGATCTTTAAATTTGTGTGACAATCCTATTCCTTATTCCTGGAGTTTTACAGAATTTTAAACTAAACAAAAACACAACAACCCAAACCTCCTTTGTTATTCTGCCTTGTAGAGTTAACTGGTTGCAAATCCTGTGTTCTAGATTTCTAGAGATGAAGCAATTAACAAGATAAGGCTTGAAACAGAAGAACAGCTGAAAGGTATTATTTTCTGCTTTCTTAATATTTAGAGAATGCTTAAATGGAGCTAGTACTACTTAGAATTACAGTGTGCTCTTTGGCCAAGCTATTTTAGCAGAAGTTCTATAAAATTAATTTTCCAACTTCAGATGCAATTTCTTTTTTATACCCAGAAAAATTTCCAGAGGCTGAGCCTTATGAAATCATAGAATCTTTCAATATGGTTTCAAAGGATATTTTTAGAAATCTTGTTCTGAATGAATATAGAAGGTAAGTATATCAAACTCCTACTGAATAATATTTCTGTCAACTTTTTGTCCAAGACTATAGTTCCATTGATCTCATAATTTCTGCTTGTAACTTTAGGTGTGATGGGAGAGATTTGACTTCCCTCAGAGATATCAAATGTGAAGTGAACATGTTTAAAATGCTTCATGGATCAGCGTTATTTCAGAGAGGTCAAACACAGGTAGTATCTTTAAACGTCAGAAACTATAAATTAATTTATCGAAAGCTGAAAGATTTGTATCTTTCATTTAAATGCAAAGTTTCCTTTTTCTTCACATTCAAATAGTAATAACTAGAAAACGGTTTAGATTTAATTAAAATACATCTGAGTCCATTAAGACAGTAGACAAAGCTTGGCTCCTTGCTACATGAACAAGACAGATATAAGCATATGTGCCCAGAATGAGTCTGGTAAGCATTATTGTGTCTTTAGACTTTCTGAAAAATGTCTAGTAACCAAAGTTAGAAGCTGTAAGGATTCTCCTTGTTCAGATCAGGTTGGCAGGTTTGGGGCATTTTTGGTTGGTTGGGTTTTGTCTTGGGAGTAGGTGGTTTGAGAAGAAAGCTTTCCGATTCAGGATGGCTTGAAGTAAAATTTTTTGTTTATAAGTCCAAAATCATACCTTTTTCATCCCTCTACATAGACTCTTATGTTAGAGATACTTGTTGAAACAAAAGCTTTTAATGTAAAATATAATCTTGCTCATTTTTAGAAAAATGGGTGACTCAGTGGTATGCAGGACAGTGCTAAATTGTGTATGTCATGAGAAGTCTTTTAAAAGAAACTTCATATGTAACCTGGACTAAATAGGGAAATTGTACCCAAAAAACTACCTTGAGATTTTTTTCTCTTTTTTACCAAAAGTGTCAGATATTGGGTGGATTGAATTAAGAATGTACTCAAGATTTGGTCTCCCATATTTTTATAGCTCATTTTCCTAGAAGGCTGTCAGCTGTTGATCTGACTTAGTACAGGGTACATGGGTAGTTGCAAACAGTGATTTATTCCTCAATGTTGTTCCCTCTTACCCCACTAAAAAAACACATGCTGCAAGTCTATGTGATAAACAGGCTTGCTCTTTTGCACAACATGGTGGCTGCATCTTGCCCTGGCTCTTAAACAAAGTTGTTTGGTTTCTTAGTGAACAAACTATTCGAGGCTCCTACTAGGTTAAGAAGCATTAAATTAGTATTTTTAAATGTGATCACCTGTAAGATTATACAAGCTTTACAGATTATGAGTAAGTTTGTGCTATGAAGGAAAAAAAAGTTTGCGGAGGTGGTAGGTGATGGCATCATATTTGTTGCTGAAATCATTCTTTTTGATTCTTCATAAACAGTAAAAGTTGTGAAAGGTGGAAGTGTTTAAGAGCAATTTATTTGCCCTCTCTCTTTTTATTTTAGGTTCTCTGTACAGTTACGTTTGACTCTCTAGAATCAAGTGTAAAATCAGACCTTATTTCAACAGCGGTGAGGTATGTACATCTTTTGGTGTTTTGTTGGTGGTAATAAAGGGTGAGCATTTAAGCACATTTGATAAAAATTCCTTGAACTTTGACATATATATATTAATTAGGACTGAATAAATGTGTAAAATTAGGCTTTGAAGTGGCCTGTTCTCAAAAGATCTTGGCAGTTGTTTTTTGTCAAGGTGACATTAACTCCATAGACACACATTTGAAATTGGACAGTATTACAAGTAACATCTAGTCTGGTTTCAAGAGAAAGAAAATAGTGACTTACTCTTGAATCTGTAAAACTGTGTCCATATACCAAGTCTCTTTAAATAAACAGTTGATGAAAGTCGATTCTCTTTGTTCCAAGTATTTATCTTCACACTTGGAACTTGATATCTGTTCTATTCATTTAATCTGTTTCTCAGATGTTTTGAAGTCTTGCTCGATAAGTTTGATGCAGGTAGCCTGTGAAGTGCTGTTCTGTTTGTCAAGTTTGGTTTGAATGGAAAAAAAATAGAGCAGATAATTTTGTGGGTTTTTTTCCCCCCAACTGAATCAGCCTATCTATATATTCCCATTTTGTCTCAAAATAAAAATGTTCAGAAGGTGAAAATATTTGTGTTCTTTCTTAATGGAGTAAGGAAAATTTAACTTACAATGTAGCAAGCAAGTCCTTGTGCTGTTAACATTTTATTGCTGAGGGCTAACTTGTTGGGGAGGAGAAACTCCTTCCCTTTAAAGCTGCAGTTCAGTGATCTCATCCCACCAGTGTTGCAGCTTCTACATTTTAATGTGTCAGCTTTGCGTTAGTTAATTTTTTTGGCCTAGAGGTGTTTGTCCATAGTCTGTAATTTTGGTATTCTTGGAAATTAGTTTGTGCTAAATAATGGATTTTAATTAGCACTCATTAGGTTGCTTCGTGAATGAGAGATTGCCTCTATATGAAACTACGGGCAAGTCTTGACTTGAAGCAACTTTATAGATTAGCTTTTTTGTATTTATTGCTAAGAGTCAAGTCTTGTGGTACTTCAGTAACTTTTTTGAGCATGCTTTTTTCATTTAATCAAGAGCTATTTTGTGGTTACAGAGATTTTCAGTATTCATTCTGAGCACGTACTTTTCTGAGGCCTTACTGCAATGTGTACAGTAAGATGCTGCTGTTCTTGAAATTTGAATTTGTTTTTTTTTTTCTTGCTTCAGACACACCAAAACCAGCATAAGGAACTGATAGGGCCTATTCTATTCTAAACAGCTAGGGAAACTGTTTTAATGATGATGATTAGCACATGAGGTTTTTCTTTTGTAGACTGTGCTTTTTCATGTGTTTACTCCATAGAAAACCTTTGGGAAAATGTGGGTGATCAGCAAATCTATTGATTCATTGTTTTTGCTGGGTCTATTTGTAAGCATAACTGAATATAATCTTATGTATTATTGTATGTAAGACATATTTGGTTGCTCTTTCTTGACATGGTCTTGTTTTTAATTAATAGTGGAATAAAAGATAAAAACTTCATGCTGCATTATGAGGTGAGTTTTACCATGTCACAGTTTTTTCTGCATGATTCACAGAAGGGCTTCATACCTTGCTTTTAAAGGTGAAATTGATCACTTCCAAGGATATAAATTATCTCTAGATTTGTTAAAATGTATTAATTCTAATTCATATGTAAGTTTATACTGCAGTTTGTGAACAAAAGTGCTGGTTTCCTAAAAGGCCCTAGATAATTTGTAAATTGCCATTTTATACTACCTTTTTAATACCTTAACATTAGGTTAGCCCCTTAAGAATGGGATATTACTGAAAGCACGATTAACCTGCTTTATTATTTTTAGTAAACTATTAATAGTGTTCAGCTGACATACTGCACCAATAGTAAATAAGTGCTTTTACATCTTGGATCTCTCAGCCTTTGGAACTTGCCCAAAGTATTTCATACAGGCAACAGGCATACCTTGTTCCGTTATATGTATGACAGAAACAAGATTTCTGATATGTTTAACTGGAGTTTAATTTTTTTTATTTATTTAATTTATTAAATTAAAAAATTTAATTTTTTATTCTGATATGTTTAATTGGAGTAAGCTTGTGTTGTTTTTCAACTACCTTGCGACTGCTTTATTCTCTTTTGTTCAGTGGAAGTAAAACATTTACTAAACACTACCTAAACTGGTCCTGGTTTGCAAACCGGGTGACTGATGGAAGTCCTGTAGTGGTTTGATTTTTTTTTTTTTTTTTTTAAAAAAACTTGTTTTTTCCTTGAGATGCGCAAAAACTTAAAAAGAATTTTTTTCTACATGTATGTTTTAAAATGGAGAAAAAATATTAGTTAATTTTCTATATACACATTTTTTTACTTCATAGTTTCCTCCTTATGCAACTAATGAGATTGGCAAAGTTACTGGTATGAACAGAAGAGAGCTTGGACATGGTAAGTTCAGACTAGAGAAGTCCCATGCTGTAAGTTTTAATATTTTGTCTGATTGTTTTTATTTATGGATCACTTGGTGTTTTGTGTTTTTTTTTTTTAACAGGTGCACTGGCAGAAAGAGCTCTGAAACCAATTATTCCCCAGGATTTCCCATTCACAATACGAGTTACTTCTGAAGTCTTAGAGTCAAATGGTATTATGACTTTCTTATTTTTAACTTAGTGCTAGGGACTAAATTTAGCTCTTAAAAAAACCTGAGTTGGACAAACTTGAGTTGTAGGCATTTTAGGTAATAGATTTCATTTTTAACCTTCTTAATCTTGATAGCTCTATTACCTGAAGTACTTAAAATAAAAAGGATGTATATGGTCATGAACAATGGACCTTTCTTTCCATTTGTGTAACAGCACAGTATCAGTATGAGAGGCAAACAAATTCTGAGTTTAATAAAATGGTATTTGGCAGCATTTTTATGCTACAGAGTGAGGAAAATAAATCAGCATGTATTGAGACCCATTCTTCAGTGTTTAATCACAGCTGGTACCCTTACTGACTTAGTGGTAACTTCTCCTGGCTGGCTGTTTTGTTCTCTCCCATCTCCCCAGTTTGGGAGAGAGCTATCCATTTCACCTTTCTGCAGATTCCCGTGTGTGGCAGGAAGCTCCCTGAGGTCCACCTCCTATTTCATAGCACTGTAGTGAGATTAGGTGGGTTGCAGAAGGGGTTAGTGGACAAAGGGAAGGAGTCCCATTTGCAGCTTCCTGCAAAACCCACAGATTCCTTGTTTAGAATATTTAATGTTCATTGTGGTGTTTGAGGGGTTTTGGTATCAGTATCATGAAAGATTAAAAGTATATTGTGCGTTTCTTGTTAAAAATACTTATGCTACAGAAAAATTCTAATTGTAATTATTTATTGTGGTATGTGTGGTGCTGTACAGTATTTTCTAGCAGCAAGTCAATTGTCAAACTGTCATTGAAGAATATCACTAGCAAGTTTTGTTTCAGATACTCCTGACCATTGTTTAATACTTCCCTCCCCCCCTCTGTATTCTTCTAACTCTGTAGGGTCTTCTTCAATGGCTTCTGCATGTGGTGGAAGTTTGGCATTAATGGATGCAGGTACAAAATATGGCACTTAAAAGGATAAACTACATATGATAATGTGTTACAGGATTTGTAAATGGCCAAAGGTTATAAAAATGTATTTTTATTTACCACTATTAGGAGTTCCAGTATCAAGTGCAGTGGCAGGTGTAGCAATAGGTCTCATTACCAAATGCAGTGTGGAAAAAGGAGATATTGAGGACTATCGCTTGCTGACAGACATCCTGGTGAGTGTTTCTAGTACTGTTGGTTTTATTGCTGCTTAATTCTGTAAAATACATTCTATGGCCTTCTTTTGTAACTGTTTACCCAGTTACTTCAGGAACATACACTACTGGAAATATTGAATAGTTTTATCTTCTCTGTTTTGTCTCCCAAACTCTTCCCTTATTTCAGAAAATCTCTGTGAAATGTCCAGTCATGTTTCTTAGTTTTTTGTAATTACTCAGTTATTTCTTTTAAGCTCTCTCTTTCCAATTGGGAGAAAGAGATTAATAATTCTTGAATAATTTACTGAAAAACACAATGTATTGGATGGAGAATGAGCACTTGACAAAGTTGCTGGGGCGGGGAAATGCATATTATCGTGTTGCTGATGCTTGTTCCTGTGGCAGCCACTGCTAGTAGAAAATCAACTGTGGATCTGTTGTTCAGGAACTAGTGCATGAAAGCTCTTAATTTATAAGGAGAGAAAGGAACAGTGTTAATCAAAAACAGCAAAATAAGGTTGAAGAAAAAACACGTGAGTCTCAGCAGTAATTCCAAGTCTGCAGAACTACTTTGTGGCTTATTGAAACACAGAATGTACTTTTAGTATAACGAGGCTTGACAGTGGGATAAAGTTACTCCAATTTGCTTTCTTTCTGTCTATGCTGGTAGGGAATTGAAGATTACTATGGTGATATGGATTTCAAGATGGCAGGTACTAATAAAGGAATAACTGCCTTGCAGGTATCGTAACATTAAATCTTCCTAAAATGGAACTCTGAAAATGTATCTAAAAAAGCTTTCCTTACATATTGATGTAACTTAACTCTTTTCGTATTAGGCTGATCTAAAACTGCCAGGAATACCAGTAAAAATTGTAATGGAAGCTATTCAGCAAGCTACAGGTAGGTCCATATTGTATTTGCACCCATTTTATCATATTAAGTGATAAATTGTATTAAATTCTAAGTTTTATGAAACTAAATAATAAATTACTAATTTTTTTGTTTTCATTGTGGAAAAAAGCTGCTGTCTTCAAAAAAACTGGGCTAATTTGGGTGTTGTCTGTTATACTTCCATATAGGCACTTCATGCAAAATAAATAGCTTTTTGTGTTGGAGGAGAGCATTCAATCTCCAAAAAAGCCAGGCCCTTCCCACCACACTTAAGTCTCATATTATTGTACATAATGTCAGTGAAATTGTCTGCTGCTCCTGGAGGTTACTTTTTATTAAAACAGAACAAAAATGGTGTGATATTAACAGTCACCAGTTTAGTACAATGGGTAACTTGCTTTGAAAAATTGCAATAAAATTAGTGGCATAGCAAAGTGGGAAGGGAGGGAACTTATGCAGAAGAGCAACATCAGGGTAGAGGAATACATGAAGAAATATTTACATGCAGTATTTTGGATTTGACTGATGCAAGTACAATATTACTAGGCCATGTCAGTTTATAAGATTTTTGTCATACTGTGTGAAACCATATGTGGTGAGTTGGGGAAAAGAGGTTTGGTTTGTGCTGTGCAATAGGTCAGTAAAAAGGATTGTTAAAAATAAGCTCCAAACTAACTTTAAAGTAACTTCAGACTAATTTTTAAATGTGTCTTGAGCAGCAAGTTCTTAGAACTTAAGTAAAAGTCCATGTCATCTCAGGGAGTTGATGGTTAAGATCTAGCAGCTTGGTACCCTGTGAATAACAGAGGTGTAAAGGCTGAAGTGCAGCTTTGCTCACTGAAACTGGATTGCTTTTGATTGGTGAAAGTTGGGAGAGGGAGGAGGCACCTGTTGCTCGTTAAATATGTTAAGTGTTACTGTAACACCAAAATGGATTTGGACTAACACACAAACATCCTATTACATGACTTTTTTTTAAAATCCAACAGAATAATGTTATAGAAAGAATAGCAAAAACTATTTCTTATTTACCATAAATTCAGCTATATTTACTATTGAAATTTACTGCTGTCGGTATTCTGACGTGCACAGTTAAAATATTCTTAAGCCATATGAAAAACTGAAGCTACAAGCTTTAATGAGGATTTAACTAGTTGTAAGAGAAAATTTTCAACTTGATTGTAATAACAAGATTTTAGTAAGAAAACCCTTACTAAAATGTAAGAACCAGTAATTCCTATTTAATGGTGTATCACTTAAGGCAGCTCAGCTGAAGTTCCAGGCCAGTGTATTATAACTTAACTAATCAAAGCTACACCTTGTTGCTTTTATAGGCACTGTGATTTATTTAAATAATACACTGAAACAGAATTCTCTGTAATGTTCTAGGCTGCATAAAATCAATAAATGTGCTGAAGGCGTAGGTTTTGCATACACAGAGCAGAATGTTGGTACCGCAACAAAGATGCGCTACCTGAAATGTGTTAAGTTACCAAGGTAAATTCTGAAGTTAGGCAGGAGGCAGACTATATGAACAGATGTTTATCTACTTTATAACAAAAACTGCATAAATTTATTTTAATCTTACACAAAACTCTTTATTTTTCCTTCCTCCTCCTCCCCCGCCCCAAAAAAACCTCACAGCTGCAAAGAGGGAGATTTTACAAATTATGAACCAAACGCTGGCAAAACCCAGACCTAACAGAAAAGAAAGTGGACCAGTTGTAGGTAATGTTAGTTGTATGTTGATAAGAATGCATAACTTTTATAATTATCTTTTTAACAATAAGCTGCTGCTTAAAACAGCTTTTTTAATGAATGTTTGTTATATGTTTCTGCACCTGCCTCTGGGGGTTATTTTTTGTCCTTTTTTTTTGAGGTGAATTTTTGGGTTTTATTGCCATGTGAGGCAGCACTGTACTATTTCACTATATACCAGAAAACAGAATTAAACTGAAGTTATGTGAAACTCTCACAAAATCAGAGTGGATATAGATGTCAGTATTGGCATGGCTTAAGGTAATTTACACTCATCCAAGTATTTGTATTTTACGTTTTCATTTATTTCAATTCTTAAGTGTAATTATGTCAATGTTCAGCAAATAATACAAGTAGCTATAGAAGATTAAAACGTAAATGAATGTGACTAATTTTTTGTGACAGCTTTCAAGATTATTATATTTAGAATTTCAAAGTATTTTTAAATGTTCTTTCAGAAACTATCCACGTTCCATTATCAAAAAGGTTAAGATTCGTTGGTCCTGGGGCCTATAATCTGAAAAAACTTCAAGCACAGGCTGGTAAGATATTCTTACTTCAGGTGACAATTTATTTTAATGTGTTACTAGCTTCTCTTTTCTATACAAAAATTACTAGTGTGGAGTTTTAATTAGTGGATCTTGGTAGCACAGGTATTACTAGCACAGTTATTGCTAAATCTTAATGCTATCTTTATGTTCTTTCAGAAACTGTAAGTAGCTAAACTTAAACTTCCCAAATTGTTCTGTAGACCACCTCTATAAAACTGGCATTTGTGCTTTGGCAGCAACAACCTAATAAGTAAATAGGAAGAACTATTAAGAGAAAAGGGTACTTTTAATTTGTGCTTTATGCTGCAGACTGCAAAACAGTATTTGCCTTTGTTTTCAGACTGGCATGTTTAGCTGTTCCAATGCTCGGTACAAACTGAGTCTGTACTGTATCTTGATAAGAGGTGCATGTATTTTGAAGAGCTAGGTGAAGCTCACTTCAGCTACGCTTAGTTGTGTAGATTCTGTAAAAGTGCTTGCCGTTTGTTTTGCAGCAGGAATTCCTGGAAGTTTAGTGCATGTGTGATGGTGTTTTTCAGGGCTTGCAGAAGAGGCAATTAAAGGTTCATCTAGGGACAGTATTGCAGAGTGCTGAATGAAAGTTGTGAAGTCAAGCAAGTCTGATCAGGAATATGCTGAAGTGTAGATCAAATCTATGCAGCTTCTCTTCCTAGAAACTAAAACTTTTTTGCTGTGGTTATGAGGGGACATTGAACTCTTTCCTACAGTGCTCATTGACTGTTTTCCTAGGATTCTGTGAAGAGCTTGTATACACTGTTAACGTGCTAGCATATGTTAGAAATCCAACTCACTACCCCATTGTAGGAATGACCTGTACTGGGGCTTAAACGGGTAGCAAGTAGTGGTTTCCTGACCTTGTTATATTTCTTGGAATAAATGGATTTTACTTGTTTACACAGTGGTTTGTCCTGCCTGGCCTTAAGTGCCAAATTCAAAGTTGATGCCTCTTTCACTAGCATTTCCTAAATAGGGCAATTGATACTTTGGTTGAGATAAATGCAGACTGACAGGTCACTTAAAATTAGGCCTATAGCTTGATGTTGTGGTTGCCCTTGGAAGTGAATGAATGGAATTTGTAAAGCATTAAGTATTTCTGAGAGGCTACACTATTAAAAACCTTTGTTCAAATGACTCAAACCAGTGAAACTAGACATAGTGCACCCTTACCATCTCTCCAAGGCGATGAAGGTAATATTCAGCCAGTAGTCAGCCATTGTAGCAGAGGTGAATTTCTGCTGTGATATTAAATACATCAGACTTCTTTTATGAGCACTTTGTTGTAAATGCAAATTCTTCCCTTTATTGCTTAATATAGTACAACTTCTTTACTTGTTCCCTACTTTTAGAAAGCTAAAAATTAAAAAAGACTGATGTCTATGGACTATCAAGTAGGTGTTCTGCTTCAGCTGCTTTGGACTTGAAACTCTTTTTAATGCTCAGGCTAGCTTGATTAGTGCTTCTCACGGGATTAGGGTGGAGAAAAGGAGGAAAAATCATACTTCCCTTTGGTTGCAAGCCTCTGCGGTCTGTTGGCCAGAAAACTAGTCTAGAGGTGGAAAGAGTTTTACCATGCAATCTTACTATGTTCTGGCTCTGAAACACTTTAATTTCTATCAGCTATTAATGAAAGCTATAGTTTTATTAAAAATTCTCTGTGAAATTAATTCATAGAAGCTGAGATTCATTCATAAAATCAAATTTTTTTCAATAATTTTTTTCCTGCCATAAAAGGATTATAATAACAATTTTGTGTTCCTATATGGAACACAAGTTTGTCCAGGTATTTAGCAAGCATACCTGTAACATGGCTTCCATTCAGTTGCATGTAAAGCTGTCCAACGCCTAATCTGAAGAAGATTCGAAATGATTAGGACTCTGAGATCTTAATGAGTCTGTGAAAAATCATTTTGCTCTATGCAAGTCTTACTGAATGTAACTTTTCTGCTTGCTGAAACAGTAGCAATGTTCACATAAATCCTCTCCTTAAATTCTCTTTCTAAGGTGTAACTGTAAGTCAGCTGGATGAAGAAACTTATTCTGTGTTTGCCCCCACACCTAGTGCTATGCATGAAGCAAGAGAATTTATCCGTGAAATCTGCAAAGATGATGTAAGGATAAACTTTTGTTGTTAGCTTTTTAAACCTGCATTTTGTGAATTTGTGTCTTACTGTTTTCTTTTTCTCCCCCCCACTACAGCAGGAAGTTAATTTGGAATTTGGTGCAGTTTATACAGCCACGATAACTGAAATAAGGTATAAAAACTGCTCTGGAGTTGAAGTAGAAATTAGTTTATTTACGTAGCTATATTCCTGATGCCTCAATATGATGTAAAATAATTGATTTTTAAGGATGCCAAACTTAGGCTGGTGACCTTGGCACCTGCATCATTCTTGATATTTTCTCTGTTGAAAATATTACTGTGTTTCTTAATAAGGCTGTTTATTTTTGCTGCTTGTTTAGTTACTGGAATGTCTCTATAAATAAAACCTAAGGCCTTTCTTTTTTCATCTTTGTATCTGAGAGAGATGGTAGGAATTTCCTTTTCACTTTTCAGTCCAATATTTGTCTTGCAAAAATTACATGCACTTTTTGGATGGTACTTATTACTGTAAAATACTGTCCTGAAATAAGTAATTTCCATCCACTTCAATTAAGGAAAAATGGGTGGACATGTTATGGTTGATAAAAGATTTTTAGAAAGAGGGGAGTAAAATCTTGTTTATGAGAAGTTTACTAATACTTGCTTTGGAGTCAATATGCAGAGTAAAATACCTACAGACTTCTATCAATGTATTTTGAAATAACTGTGCTCTTTTCTGTTGCAGAGATTCTGGAGTGATGGTAAAATTGTATCCAAACATGACACCAGTGTTACTTCATAATTCACAACTTGATCAAAGAAAGGTAATACATGCTTAAACAAGTATAAACTAGACACTTGTACTTGTTTTTAATCGATTCTCACTGAACATAGTCTCCATTAGCTGTAACACATACTGTTGTTCTAGAGTCCATTTTTATGTTAAAAGCTGTGTTGGACTAGCAGCACCTTTTTGTTTAACCTCTGCTTGCCCTGTACATAAAGCTGCAAATAATCTAACTATATGCTTACTACAATCCTACTGTTTATGCTTTTATGCACATCACCAAGTTCTTTAGATCTCCAATACCCTTTTCTATGTAACATGTAGAAACCAGTTATTTGTAAGGTAGTGTTGAGCCACTATGATTGTCTGAAGGGTAGCATGAAGAATTCCTAAAAGAAGGAACTTTTGTAACTAACCTTAAAAAATTAATCACACTGAAATAATTTTTTCTGAAAAATACTGTGTTCTAGATTAAACATCCTAGTGCCTTGGGATTAGAAGTTGGACAAGAAATTCAGGTAATTTTTTTTTAACTTTAAGATGCTAACAAACTGCTGTTCATATTTTAGAATTTGAGTGAATTTTTTATTTTGTGTTTATGAAGAAAATATTTTGCCATATCACATTCCCTTTCTATGCTGGTTAAAGGCCTGATCACTTCAAATTAGATTTATTTAGTGTCATACTCCTGCTATCTAGGCACCACATTAATTTGACAGAGCTATATAGGCTAAATGGTGCCTATTGTTTATGGCTTTTCTAGTGTCAAACTGGGAAAAAAAAACAAACCAAAAAAACCAAAACCAACCAAAAAGATGCAAACCACTGCCTTTTAAGGAAAATGCTATTTCCAGCTCTTTAAGTTGGCCAGTCTTAAAGTGGTTTGTTTTCTTAACAGGTTAAATACTTTGGACGTGATCCAACTGATGGTAGAATGAGGCTTTCACGTAAAATTCTACAGACACCAGCCACAACTGTGCTTAAAACCCTAACTGACAAAAACAGTATTGTCTTGGGAGGTACTGTTCCCCAGTCCTCTACTTCATCCCAGTGACAGGTAAGGCCATAAGAACAACTTAAGATGACTCAGTACTGCACTTTCTTTACAACTATTGTGAAGAATTGTATCAATCTGGTTTTTATGTTGTACAGTTAACCTTCAGTGGTGTGCAAATACTGCTTGCCAGCTGTGTTGCAGCATGTTGTAAGTTAGCGACTGCCCTTTCATGTGCTGCAGTTGTAAAGAGCTTGATATTGTAAAATTGGCATCCAGTTTCAGCATCCTAGACAGTCTACTTTCTCCAAAACAAACTTATTTGTTAATCTACAACATCTGTGTAAGCATTCCCTCTTCTCTACCTTGCCAACGTTTTCTTAAAAGAAAAAAAAAAAACCAGAGTGGGGGAAGAGAAGAAAAAATAAGCTGCTTTCTTGGAAGTTTTGAGTCAATTAGTGGAGACTTCTCAGTCAATTAATGGAATGCCCAAAGCTCCTCCCTAGAACTAGTTTCCCAGCGTGTATTTGACTGTTAGTAGACTTATTCCTAAACTTTTCCAAAAGCTGTTGTGTATGGCATTTTTTTTCTTTATGAGGCTACTAGAACAGGAAGGTAAAATTGATTGCTCTTGATTGTAAAATCAAGAGCAGTTACACAATGAGATTATCATTGGTGCATTGCATTTCCATCTGCCAATTTAAGGCAGTCTGTGGCAATCTTCTGGGAATGATTCACAACACTAGAAGAAATCAAAATTCACTGACGAATTTTTTTTTTAAGAAGTGTTTCTGAGTTTGATGCCTTGATATAATTAGTTGGTTACAGAGTATTTTCTCTTTCTTTCAGGAAAAAAGGTGTGATAGTTCATGGAAATACAGCCAACCTTTGCTAGGATCTGTAGATGTCTACACAAGAATCTGCAGGTCAATGGTAGTGAATCATGTTTTTAAAATAGACACTATTTATGCTTAAAGGTGATGTAGAACTTCAAAGTCTTCAAATTGATTAAAAACTCATTTAAAAGAAAAACAGAAACAACCAGTGCTCTTATCTTGTATAGCAAGGGTGAGAATCTAAGAACATGGAATTGTATAGACTGAAGAGCAGACTACGTTTCAGTGCTTGAGATTCTTCTCGTTGTCATCTCAAAATAAAAATGCAAAGATGAGAAGGAAGTATTTAACAATTATTTTCTGAGAGAAGGAATGCTGTGTACTTGGCTGATGAGCTATGACTGTAGTTGAGAGGCACAGTTGGCCAGTTTTACTGGATTTTCAGTGTACAAGATTGAAATGTTGAGCAAAACATAGCTCAAGACTTAGAAGTATCACCTTTAACGTGATTGACACTGTTTCAGATAAATACATCAGTAACTGTCGTAGGGTTCAGACTTGCTAAAATATCTGAGCAGAAGGGGAACAAAACTACCTGGCTGAAACATCATCGTTTGTTATCTGGGTTCATTAACACTGAATTTTAAAATATATAATGAAAACATTAAGATTAAAATAATTGTTTTGGAATAAACAATTGATGTGATAAATCACCCCCCTAAAACCTCCTCATTAAGAGTGTCACAATTTCTCTATTGACTATGTTCTGTCAATGGATTCACTGGTCTTTTAGATTTCAAAACATTTCCCAGAGGCTCATAAGAACAACTTGATTTTCTACTGTGAGTTACAGACTTTGAAAATCAAAGAGGTGTCCCTTCTGATGTTCACCAATTTGTAGATAGACCTAATAAGAAAATCAACTTCCCACCTGATGGCAAGTGGGCTCTGGACCTCCTGAAAGGAAAAAAAAAAAAAAACCAAAAAACCACTGGGGAGAGGAGAAATGTGAATATGCAGTAAAAATTTTTCTGTGTTCTGCCTTTTTTTTTTACTCTAAGTTAAAATATTAAAGAAGAAAAAAATGATTGGCTGCTGCCTTTATTGTTGTCTGTCTGTCTTTCATCATGTAAGACTGAAAAATCCTGGACAGTGTTAATGAAATAATGTAGACAAATGTTAAAATACCTGAACAGAAGCTGAAATGTTTCCTTTTCTCATAACTGTTCTCAGAAATTGCCCTCTGCAATCTAAGTGGTTTTCCAAGGTTTAGCTTCTTTTATTGCAGAAAAACTTCTGTAAGGCTCCTCTTAGTAGAACAGATGGATGTTCTAGTTACTGAAATACTACATAAAATACTAACTTTAGAAGTGGGTTTGTTGGTTTTTTTTTTTAGCTTGCACATTACCAGTAGCATGCTTGCATCTGAATGTGAAAATCAATGATTTATGAGCCAAAAGAATCCCATTCTTTCCTGTAAAAGTATTTTCTTGCCTGCAGTAACAGGAGTATCAATGATTTGTGTGATAGGTCATGGTCTCAGTAAATCAACTGTTGGAGTGCTGGGGGGTTTCTGTTTGTTAGATGATAAAGTAGGAAAAAGATACATATTTTTTTTATGTACCTGTGACAGAACCTGTACAGTCAGCCTGACTTTCTGCACTTGTAACAAGTTTTACACCCTATGGGAAGGGGTGGAAAAAAATATGCTTGGGAACTGTCTGGGAAGAGCACAAACCAGCTGCTCTTACCTGAGGAGAGAAATGCGATGGGATCCAAGAATTGAGTAAGTATGTGTCAGTGTAAACCTTCCCGGAGGGAAAGCAGGCTGGTTTCAGACATCCCAGGTTCACCTGAGAGGCGTCAGTAGTGGCAGGTTGGACCGTGGCAGGAGGCACTTGACTCTCAGGTGATATCAGCTATGATCAGAGAGCATGTAGGTTAATAGTGCTTGAGAGAGCAAACTCAGCCCTATTGCAGTAGCTGTTTTTTCATGTTTGAAATAGTGATTTTTGTCTCTACTGCCCTAGATAATTAGCATCTGTAATGACCCATCTTAAATGGAGCCGTCAAAAGGAATTGCTTTGGAAAGTGAAGCTGGGCAATTGCAGCATTACAGCAGGTCAAGAGGGCCAGAAATGCATTTATTTGACCAAAACTGAATTTTTCACACAGGTGCAAAGCATCAGGAGCTGGGTATCTTTAAAGGCTGGCAATAAATATAACAAGTACTATAAAAAAAGGCATAAGAGCTGGCCTAATTGTACTTCTGGGATTACATGCCAGAGGGAATAATACAGTCTCTTAATTTCACTACAAGAAATTTTAAGTGATTTAGGAATGCGTTGTCTGTCTTGCTTCTGAAAACAACAAAAAAGATTAGAGCTCCCTGCTGCTCCATGTTGTGACACTTGATGACTCGCTCTGTCTGCAGCCTACCCTAACAAAATTCTTTGTTTTGATGAAGAATAGAGAACTCTACCTAAGAGCTATAGCTTTTTGTCTTTGTGATAATGGGGAGAGATGAGCTACTGGCAGATGCAGTGCCACAATGAAAAAGTGCTGCTTTGCTTTCTCTGAATCTTAAAATGCAGAGATTCAGATGTATTGCTTTCCTGGTCTTGTATTTACCCTGGTTTTAAGTCAGATACGTAAGAGCTGTTGGGGCAAGTCTTGCATATCTTCTTCAGGCAAAGTCCCCTAGAATTGGCTTGCTTTTTATTGGTATAGATGGCAAGATCATGCTGTGGTTTCTAACACTCCAGGCTGTGGAGTCCTGGATGCTGTTCTGGGCAAAAAGGAGCCCTGCATCCGAGGGAATGCAATCTGGGTGTGTTCTGGAGTGGCACTTTTCCGCAGAGGTCATTGATTTCATGCCTGGAGAGGTCATGGATTTATTTCACAGCTTAAGCAGAGAAACAGTTTTTCATGCCACTTCTAGCTCATGTATCTCCTATTCCTTCTGTAGCTGTTCACCATGACAGATGAGAATTTGGTCCAGAATATTCTGCTGTGGTTTCTTGCTGTTCTGCATGTCTGGAGAAGTACTGCATTTAATCTTGAGTAGGAGAGGCCATACTGAATTTTACGCACTTGGTTTGAAGAGGTAAAGAGCATGCGTAGAAGTTCTTGCAGAGTGGAGAGAGAGTTTGCAAGTGGCAGATGTCCTGAAGCAGCAATACGCTGTGACCATTGGGGTTTGTGTTTCTTTTCATGTGTTTTCTTTTTACTGAGCTTTCACTGAGGCAGAAATATGCCTGACGTGTAAAACCTTGAGGGGATCAGGCCGTGTAATGCGGAAGAGGCCACCAACGTGTAGCGGGGAAGGCTTGTGTAGAACCCAACTGTAAACTGTTTAATCTGACTTTCAAACTATGGTTGCTGAAACCACTAATATAAGATGGCCTTTTGTGCAGTTACTGACTTACTTATCCATAAAGATACGATGCACGTATCCTAAAGTATGTTCCTATACTGTATACAGCTAAAGATAAGTGTATATGATAGTTTTCAGAGGTGTATCTTACACTTGTCATCTTTTGCAAAGAAAACTCATGATTGTGTGTCTTCCATGGCCCCTGTTAACGATGAAAATAAGGGCTTGATTGAGCTTGAATCCTGGATCTACAGAACCCCAATTAAGGGTGCTTCTCTTAACCTTTCTTAGAGGTGGGTTGTTTTGCACATGTTAAATAAGCAAGCTGACCAGTCCTCAGACCATGAGGCTGCCTCTTGAGGAATGTGAAAGACTTTTCAGCTGTTCAGCCACACCAGTGCAGCTGATTGAAAACTGCACCAAGGAATGATCAGTGGCTGTCACATACTCAGTGTGCTGAATGGCAGTAAATCTTAGAGGCACCTGTTAAAATGAACATCAGAGCAAAAGCTGAGACTTACATAGGTGTAAATTTTCTAAATCTGCCCAGAGAATGTTTTTCTAACATATGGAAGAGTTGCACATAGTACTTACAGTGGTGTATTCTGTAGTAAACTTTTTCTTTCCCTTCATCTGGAACAAGATTGAACTTTCACCAGTGAAATGCCAGTCTTGTAAGTAAGAGCTATACCGGTGTAACTGCTTTCACCATTAGGCAAGAGCTAGAAAAGTCTTGCTTTGTCTGGGAATGAAACACACCCTGGCCCGGGGAGCCCTTCCCCTTCAGAGCCTGAAAGATTTTGTTGTGAGACGCTTTCAAGCTTCCCCTCCTTCCCAAAGTCCCTGTGGTTTCACACAGCTCGACTTCTTGCAGGCTTTTGTGTCCTTTTCCCCTATTCCCATGCAAACACTGAAATGTAATTTTTTATTATTATTATTATTCTTAGTACAGAGGAAATGTGTGGCTGGTTTTTGGTATGGAAAACGAAGACTTAAAGACTCCACAAAGCCTGGCAAGTGCTCTGTCTTAAATTGTACAGTTTGTGAGGACTAATTAAGCACGTTTCTCTCACTGAACAGCTTCCACTTTCGTTTAGCTTTGGAGCCTCCTCTACAGAGCACGGGACGGTGCAACGACGTGCACATTATGGCACAGGCGTTGCGGTGCGTGCCCTGCTGCGGTAAAGGGTTGGAGTGGCACGGGAGCTGCCACGGCCGCGCCAGTACACGCCTCTGACTGAAGGCAGGCGCTGTCCCGCTCCCCGCCTCCCCGCCTCGGCCGGAAAGCCGCTCGGGGGGCG